TTGGAGATTAGGAAAACTGTCCAACTGATGATAAAAAAAAATAAAGATTTTTTTGGAACGGGTTATAATGATAATAATTGAGCCCATCAGTTCTGAGGAAAAAAAAAATTAGTGGTTAATTGTTCTTTATTCTCCATATAGCAGAGTGAATCTTTTTTCTTTTCCTTTATTTCTTTCCTTTTTTTGTGGTGGTTCTGGGGACGGAATACAGGGACCATGGAGCTGTGTCACAAACCCTTATTTTTGAGTTGCTCAGACTGAGCTCAAACTCACGTTCCTCCTGCCTCTAAGCCTCCCAAGAGTGATTCTTTTAAACTACAACTTTCAAGCCAGGCATGGTGGCACATGCCTGTGATCCTGGAAGCTGAGGCAAGAAGATCACAGGTTCCTGCCCATCCTGACTTAGTGAGAGTGAGACCATGTCTAAAAATAAAAAAAATAAAAAATGGGCTGGGGATGCAGCTCAGTGTGAATGCTCTGGGTTGAATGTTCCTCACCAATAAAGAAAGAAGGGAGAAAGGGCTGAAATGTAGCTTGGTCCAAAGGGTTAATCCTTAGTACCATTAAAAACTATAACTTTCAATCATCTAACTTGCATATTTACTAAATCTGAGTTTTGATCTTTTGATAGTAAATAAATGGTCAATCTGGTTGCACATGAGTGTTCTGTTTAATTTTTATCCTACTTTATAAGGTGCTATTACAGTCTCTGAAGATAAAATCACTGTCTAATAAAGATGCAAGACACAGAGGCTACAAAGGTAATTTAACATTTTCTCTCAGTGACAAAAAGAAAATTTAAAACAATGAAATTAATTTAATATTTTACCAAGTATACCCAGAGTACTATCCTTTCTAACATATCAATATAAAGCTTATTTGTAATACAGTGGACATTTCTTTTTTCTCCTAGTAAATCTTCAATCCATTGCATGTTTTCCATTTTCTGTGCATCTCAGTTTGTACTGGTCACATTGTAAATGCCCAGTAGCCACATGTGGCTAATGGCTACAGCACTGGTCAGCACTGGTCTAAGTAATGTGCATTTATATGGGTCTTATAACTCCAGCACCACTGGTGTCTAGAATGCTCTCAATAAATGTGTGCTTCGCTGTGTCTTTCCCTAGTTATCTGGGATTTTGTTTGTAGCTTTGAGGCATTTCTATAGAGAAGTACAGCAGCTTTATCAAAAACTGGTTATACATAGTGTAATGGACATTTGAGGTTTTGTATTCAGATTTTTAATCTCTGCTTTTGCACCTGTGAATTAATCTACATGGTCTTTTTAACAGAAGGCTGATTTTATACACAAAGGATGTTGTGTGATCTGCATTTCTGTATCAACTGTTGCATACTTGGCTTATAGTTGGCATTCAGTGCCTACGACATAAATAAGATATTAGAGATTTCTTACCTTTCCCCAAGTAAATTTCTTATCATTGTTAAATTGCAAGTTCAGATATTAAATCTTTGTTACATTAATGGAAGTGTTCTCCACCCTTCATGTTAATACTGTTTGATTTTTATGCCTAAATTCAGAAAGATGTTGAAAATAGAAAGTTAAAAGGTTCGGGGTTTCAAATTCAGTTAATAGAAGTTAGTCTTCACCCAACAGGTAACTCTAACCCCCCACCCACCGTGGCCCAGGCATGCGATAGCTGGCAGCTTCTAATGGAGAAAGGATCTCAAAGGCTTTTCCATTTTCACTGCCAAGGCAGTCATGTAGCAAATCTAGGCTATCATGGACCCTGGATGTTTGAATCACTGTTAGGCATCTCTCTTGATTAGAGTAAATTAGGGTGAGCAATTATATTTGTATTTCATATCTTCACCACTACTCAAAACTAACTGTACAAAGGGTTGTCATTGGATCTTGATGCCTATTGGTCCAGCATTGTCACCCTCTGCTCCCCAGGGAAGCCTCCTCGCTGTCCTTCTCTCTCTGTTCTCTCCTGTTTTGAAGGTTTTTCTCCTTCATATCCTTTTAGCTCTGTGGTGCCAAGTCTCTAGGCAGCAGGGGGTCGGGGATGTACCCCATCTCCAGAGCCCAGGCACTTGTCCCTGTTGGACCCAGTTGTGAGAGTGGCTTTTTATTTCAGGATGTTTTCACAATTGTTCTGTGGCTTGTGTCTGACTGTCCCTGTCCTCCAAAGCCTCATGAAGTCATAGGTGGAGCTTTTTCAGAGGTGGCTGGATCTAGAGTGTATGATGCTAGGACTAAGGATGTGTGATTATTAAATGAGCCACTGATTGATTTGGCACTGCCCCACTCCCAGTACTGAATTCTGTATCTACCAGTGTTCACTAGAGAAACAGATATAATACAGGATATATAAATATATAAGAATTTATAAGATTGGCTTGCAACGACCATCCGTAGAGTCAGATCTGGAAGAGAGCAGAGGGTCTGTCTGCATACTGGAGACTGAAGGATCCACTCAAAGATCTGGAGCTCACTGAAGTGTTCCTTGTGAGTTCACGTCAGGATGTTGATGGGTCTTTGGTGGAAGGCTGAAGAGTCTGCACTAGAAGGCTAAAGGGTCTGTGCTCTAAACTGCACAGGAGATAGGAACCCATAAGATAATATCCAAGGTAAAGGAGAATACTGGAGCTTCTCCAAAGAAACAGAAGCAGATCCATCCCTCTTCATTTCCCCTTTGTACTATCCCAGAGACAGGTGTGGAATTGCTAAGCCAATTTAGTTGAGCTCCTCTTACTCAAGTTGACACAGTGAATCAACCAACTCAGTCCACCCCTTTTCAACTTGAAAACCAGACACATTTCTTGAAACCAGTTTCCAAATACCATGACAAACTCATAATTATGCATAAAATATTATAACTCTCTTGTGTACAAACTGAAACGCACTAGTTGCCTCCCCAGAATAAAAGGCAAGTTTTCTTTGAGTGATGCTTACTCTTAACATTTCATAACTTGAACATTATAACATAGGTTTATAAGAACCAGTATTAAGTCTATCAACATTATATTATATTACAATATTAAGAAAGAACTAGTACAATTACTATCCTCATTTCTGTAGCTGATCATGGGATTGTAGCTGGTATTTAGAACTACCTTCTTCTACCCATTCTGTATTCCTTTGGCCTTCAGCAGGCACCTCAGAAAGTCTTGGTTCTTTCCCTGATGGAGTGACCCGTGTTTTCATTCCTGAAGCTTCTGGATCATTTGTCATTCTGCCTGGATTAGGTTGCTATAGCTTCGCACTGACTTGAATACAGGGCATAGTAATACTAGGAGGCACACTATGGGCTCTCCTGCACTCTAAATATATTCTTCCTTTCCTCCATTGTGGAGTAATACTCCAGTTTCCCCTTGATAGTCTGGGTCAATCAGCCCTCACAACACTGTGATTCCCTTTTTAGCTTATTTCCTCAGAGACATAAGACCAAGACTTTGTTTTCAGAAAAAAGCCCCAGAGCACCATATTCCAGAGGGTGGTGGCCTGGAGAATTTGTTCCTCAGGATTGGGTTCAGAGTGCTCAGAAATCAGGCACTCAACCCTACAGCAAAGAAGGCAGGAAACCTGGCTACTCTTCCAGCTGGCGGCAGACTCTGGTATCATCCACATGTTGTTAGTTTTAGGTGTGTGGAAAATGCAAGAGTTGTGGGGTCAAGAAGGCTTCCACCTAGATTTCAGAAGAAGGCCTGGGAGACCAGGCACTGTGCCCCTGAGAGGGCAGTATGTAAAGCTGTGAGTGTAAAGCCAAGGTACACTGGAGACCCCCAAAACTTGGAGAAGCCAGGGATGTGGATTGTCTAAGGAAAACTGCAAGGAGGGAGCAGAGCCAGCTCAACAGAGAAGCCATGGGAGCTACAACCACCAGCAGTGCTGTAGAGGTGGAGCCACCCAATCACTTTGGAGTTCACATCTTGCCACAGATTGCCTCCGATGCTGGACATGGAACTACAGGATTAATGTTTGCTCTGCTGGATTTTGGACTTGCTTTCCTCCCATTCCTTTCTATCCCCCTATTTGTTCCTTTTGGAATGGTAATATCTATCTTGTGCCATTGTATGTTGGAAGTGTTAAACTTTCTTTTCATTTGTATAGGGCTCACAGCTAAGAGTTTGCCTTAATCTCAGAGGAATTTGGACTTGGACTTTTCAGCAATGCTGAAACTGTTAGGACTTTTGCAACTCTTGGAGATGGACTTAAATGCCTTTTGCATAAATGGATATACATGAGTCTTTGGGAGGCCAGAGGCAGAATGTTATGGTTTATATGTAGATGTCCCCACAACGCTTCGTGCAGTCATAGGTGGGGCTTTTCAAAGGTGGCTGGAGCTAGAGTGTGTGATCCTGGAATTAAGGGTATCATTAAATCAGTCCACTGATTGGTCTGGCACCACCTTAATCCTAATGGCCTAGATGGAATGTGAAAGGGGCAGACAGGAGCCCAGGCCTAGATAGAATATAAAAGGGGCAGAAAGAAGCTGCTTGGGTTCCTTGCTTGCTCCTGCCTGCTTGCCATGGACTGTTCCTCCTCTGCGATGCTGCTCTGTCATGCCACCCTGCCTTGGAGCCAGCCAACTGTGAGCTGAAACCTGTACGAACTGTGAGCTAAGTAAACCTTTCTTCCTTTAACTCTGGCTGTCACGTGTTTTGTCCCAGCAGCAAGAAAAGTAACTAAAACAAATAGCCTATTCTGTTCTTTCCCGGTGATGGTGATTATTTGGTTACTTCATTGTTACTGGTTTCAGGAGAACCAGTAAGGAAACTTTCTGTCAGAATGGGAATAGCCCAGAAGGTTTATACTTAGATTTTCAGCAAGGTTTTCTGTAGAGACTGCTCCTCTGTTAGAGGTGAGGTGTGGAGTACTTTGGAGGGAAGAGCGAAGAGTGAGGTCCCAGGACATTGGATCAGGGAACATCTAAAACTACATAAGGAAAGATAAATATGGCCTTGCTAGCTTGCAGGAAACATTGTAGGCCACCTATTGTTCTCGTTTTATTTAGACCCTAAAGAGTGTCTGTTCTACTTCTGTAGGTTCATGAAGTAAATTTAGCTCCTGACTTCAGAGATGGGTTGAACAAACCGTGCAAGCTGTAACTGTGCTGTTGAAGTTCTAAGCACCTCTTTTATTGTGGCACCAGAGATGAAAGACTGAGCACAACTAGGTGAGAAGGCAAGAGAGTGTACGTCTGCGTGCTTATTTTGAAAGTGACAGAAGCCCAAGTTAACCTAGCTTTAGGGTCTTAGGACATTGTCTTTATGTGACCCCCGCATCCTATGCCACAGGAATATGGCTATAGCAGGGCCTCAGCCATCCCTGGAGTTAGCCCCAATGTCCTTCCTTCTCAAACCAGTTTTCTGAACAGGCCTAGAACTCGGTCTTGGCAGCTGCCAGGCCCACATTTTCACACCAGACAGGAAGTTTGCACTTCCCTGATCCAACTCCAAAATCACAGGGAGTCTCTCAATGAGAACACATTCCCATCTCTAGGGGAGCAGCCACCTCACCATGAGGTAGTGGGAGGAGGTAGAGTGAGGAGGGATGATGGCAAAGAAGGCTGGCCTTTCTGAGCTGACCCGGAACCATAGATGGGAGTAGCATCTTGCTAAAGGAGAAGAGGCCTGCTTGCAAGAGGGCAGGCAGCCCCACCCTTTTGGGCTGGAGAGAAGCATCGTTGTTTGAACCCACAATGTTCTAATGATGTCCAGACATAATAGCTGGGCTCTTGACCACTCCATTTCTCCTGCTGCCAGGGCATCAGCATTCACAGAATCTGTTTTATTAACTTATTTATATGTTCCTTATTCTGAAAAATAAGATACTACATTCCTGGGTAAAGAGATTTAGCAGGCCAAATGGAACCACTGTGATCACTGTAAATGACATTTCCCATATTACAGAATGTGGAGGATCCAAGTTGTCCCATTTTGAAACAGAATCAAAAAGTAGGTGAAATATGTGCTGAGCTAACTACTGGCAATAAAAATCTTTCTAGAAAAAAACAGGAATTAAATATAACCATGGATAGAGCCTATCACTCACTCTAAAGATAGCTTTCATAACACAACACTTCCCATATGGACCTCCTTTTTATTTTTTGTATTTCATCTTTTTAAAACTAGCTTCACTGAGGTATTATTTACATCCTGCTACAATATAAGTCATGGATTTTATTATACACATTTCTGATAAGTTGATAGAGTTTTGCAACCATCCCCTAGTTAAACAACATTTCCCTCATTCTAGAAAGATCCTTTGTGCTATTTACAGTCACTTCCCATCACAACTCCCAGCCCCAGATAATCACTAATCCTCTTGTTTCTGGAAATTTGCCTTTTCTAGTTATGTCATAGAAATGGAATCATACAGTGTGTAGTCTTTACAGTCTGGCTTTACTTAGTGCAATGTTTCTAGGCTTTGCATCAATGCTACGCCATGGATCTATATTTCACTCCTTTTTACTGCTGGGTAGTATTTCTTTATGTAGAAGTGCCATAGTTTGTTTACTTATAACAGTTGTTTTACATTTTGGCAGTTATAGATTCTGCCTTTATATACATTCACATGGAAGAATTTCATGAATGTATGTTTTCATCTCCTGGCTAGATACAAAGGAATAGAATTCCTGGGTCATATACTAAATTTATATTTCACTTTTTGAGAAACTACCAAACTGCTTTCCACAATGGCCATATCATTTTGCACTTTCACTAATAATGCTTGAGGATTGGACCTGCACTTGATATGTTCTTTTTGTTTTCAAGGTGGGTGAAATTCAAGGAATGGTCTTTGAAAAGGAGCTAAAGGAGCTTATTTAGACATGCTTAGGCGCATATGCCTGGCCTTTTGGGTTTGGGTGCTATGTACATTCTGGGCAGTTGAGGTGAGCACAGGGGTATATTTAGAAGGTGATATTTCAATGAACATCAAAACGTAAGCATAGACTAGAGAGGGCATTTCAGAGCTTATTAAAATAGTGCCAGTATAAGGTATAATCACATGGAGTTTCTTAGTCTTAGGGTGATTTTTATGTTCAAGAGGTAGCTTGTTTTGATTGTCTGTGCTTTGTAAATTGGATGGATTGAGGGCAGGAGGCAACCTTGGGATTTCTTTTTAGGCTCACTGAAGCATGTGAGTAGCAGATTTGACAGACCAGATAGTAATCTTGCCATAGCCATGGCCAATTTTGTATTCGTGCTGCTGGCTCTGGCTGATTCATGGACCAAAATCTGTCCTGGGTGATAGGTTTTGTTCTCAAGGAAGAATATATATTTGGTTTTCAAGAGAAATATCATCTTCTGAATAAAGGCAGTTGTGAATACTGGGGGATTAATGTTCTCAAAAGAGTTTTACTACATGATTATTGTGAAACTATCTGAATGACGTTTATGGTTTTAAAAGAATGTGCTTATTTGTTTTCTTTGAAAAATGTGAGATAATATCTTAAAAAGGATTCCTTACAAAAACAGAACTATTGCTATGTCATTGTTTTTTCTCCATTAAAGTCTATTTAGAAATTAATTCACAAAGACAGAAAGAGGTTAATTTTGATTGACACAGGTCTCACTTTAAGTTGGTCTTAAACACCTAGCAGAGGGCCTGGGATTTAGCTGAGTGGTGGTGCCTGCCTTGTAAGCACAAGGACCTGAGTTCTATCCCCCGTACCAAAACACACACACACACACACACACACACACACACACACACACACA